ATCATTCTACCCCAAACAATTTTTGTGGTGGTTTGTAGAAATCACCAATCCCCTTTCTAAGTATTGGGAGGAATCTCAATTGTAGACTGTGTTCAGTAATTTAACACAAGACCTGAAAAAGAGATCCTGGACAGGGAGTGATGACCTGAAGCCCGCTGGTTAAAGGGGCACTAGGCCTTTCATCTCAGCCTCCTTTGGGAAAGAAAGTTCTTTCCTCCCAACTCCCCCAGAGCTCCTTTGGTCCCTGGGGCTTCAGGAGAGGGGAGCTACCTGGAAACACTGGCCTGGGAATTGCTGCTGAGACCAGACCTTTGATCTCTCATTGAGCTGCTTCTTAAGCCCCCAACCCAGTACCAGGCTGCCCCCAAAGACAGCTGGGCTGGGTCAATACAGACACTGGGAACAGGAAGAGACCCAGCAGGCTTACTTCACACATTGTAAACCACACAAAGATCCCAGCTCCTGATAGCTCCCCCCCCTCCACTCCCACCTCTCCCCATACAATTTACAGGGCACTGCCAATGTGTGTTAACTTATTCTCTCTCTGGACAGAAGCAGAACACATGATCATGCTCAAGCCCCTTGACTTCATAGAGTCCGTGTGGCCCAATCTCCGCTTTTCCAGACAAAGAAACAAATCCATGAAGTCCGGTGTGCAAAGTCTGAGGGGCTCTTGAGACAGTCTTGCTCTGCCCACAGGTGGTGTGGACTGGCTGGGGGGTTAGGCCTGATGGATTCTCACACTCCAGAGGAGCAGAGAAGGGCTTAAAGGGTTTTGGAGCATAGCCCCTACATAACAAACAGAGATGCAATGAATCCCTCTGTCATTGGTAAACATAGGATGGATGGTTTTGCTGAGTAAAACAGGTGCCTAGACTCAGCAGACCTAACATCCCATCACTGATCAAAACAACTGTGGCATTGGGTACCATAGGTGGGAAAGGATGCAGGTTCTCTGAGGTCTACCTTGCAGAAATCTCTTTTGAAGTCACTCTCTTCCACCCACTTCTTCCACCCACCCTTGGGACCAATCAACCTGCTCTTAGCTGGGAAAGGCCTGTTGGCCTGAAAGCCGAGTCCCAGTAAAGGGAGGTGGGGTCAAAACTGTGTGCTCATTTGCCTACGTTGTGCTTCCTCCCTAGGAGGGCAGAGAATCTCCTTATCCTTTATAAACCCTCCTGCCCACAGAGGCAGATGGGATGAGGAACCAGGGCAGACACAGACATGAAACCTCATGGGCAGGCGGGACCTATGTGACCCCCTGAAGCCAAACCTGGTCTCAGCCTCTTTGGACCTGTGCTCTAGTAGATGGAGATGATAAAAATCTTCTTTGCAGCATCATAACGAAGACTAAGGATGATAATTACAGAAAGTACATGGCACACAGTAGGTATTCATGAAACAACCAATTTAGAGACAGGACAGCATTTTAATCATCCCAAAGAGATTATGGCAGAAACACAGCTGCTTTGTGGCCCCCATGCCTCCTGTGCTGTAGCGGAGCCTTTTTTTTTTTTTTTTTTTTTTTTTTTTTTTTTTGAAACGGGCCCTCCTGGTGCCCCCTTTTTTC